TTTTTTACCAACATAATTAATAATACATAAGATAATATAATTAATAAATAATTAATGTCTATATATATTTATAAAATATAAGATTAAATATTTATAAAAAAATATGTTTATAAAAAAAATAACAAGATACATATCATATAGGCCCTCACACTCTCCCTTTTTTCTCCAAAAGCAAAAAAATTTTGCTTTTTCCAAAACCATGGTTTTGGAGTCAAAACCATGGTTTTGACCCAAAACCATGGTTTTGGTTTTTGGAGAGGCTGTTTGGGTAGCATTTTCCCCAAACCATGGTTTGGGTCCCCAAACCATGGTTTGGGTCCCCAAACCATGGTTTGGGTCCCCAAACCATGGTTTGGGGTGCTATCCAAACAGAGCCTTAGTATGAAACAATTTCCCTACCAAGAAATGATTCTGCCACGAAAATTCCTTAAGTGGTTGTCCTACTTTAATGGCAATAATATTTTAATTTCGAGACTTTTTATATTTATAGAGAGGAATATCCCTATCATATATTTCTACCATCGAAGTAGGCAAAAGTCCATTGGAGTAGATATGTCCTCTGCAATCACCTTTGGAGTTATGAAAAAGCAATGTTAAAGATTCACAATGATGCAATAATCCAATAATTCTGATGGAAGAAAAAAATAGAAGATAAAAGTTTCCTTTCAAATCACTTGCATCATGGATATTAAGGAGACTGTTTTTCCCTTATATGATAATCAGTTGCGCTTCCTCCATATAATAATGAGGCAGCAAATAATTCCATGAAGGAGTTGAGAGTGTCCATCGTGATGTGATTGTATTAGAGTAGAAATTAACTATGCTTTGAAATCATTAAAGCTGCTAGCTTCAAGATGAATGGCGAAGCAACCAACCATAAGGTTCTAGAGAAAGAACAAGAGGCCAAAAAAGATGATGATTAAAGCGGTTCTTTTTTATATCAGTCAAAAAGGCACAGTGTGTCAGATTTGAGATGATGAATATTAAAATATCCAAAGAAGGAAGGGTGCCATTCAAAAATTTTCAGATAAAAAGCAAGTTCTTAAATTAAATGGCAATTTCCACAAGAAGGTCCAAAGGTCGAAGGGGTAAGAACTAGTAAGATGCATAGGAGACTAAAGAATTGCCATTCCATCTTTAACCAAATATTTTCCAGAAGAATTACCCATCCGTATAAGTTTATCTTCCAGATTTAAAAATGAAGTAGGTAAAGCCAATATTTGACGAGCTAATCCTGATAATAAAGTTGGATAATCAAGTTAAAGTTCCAAATAACTGGATCTCAAAGAAAAGCCACATGCGCGGTAGAATTAAGTGCTTTGAAGTGTGCTGTGTTTTTTTAATTAATCCACGTTCTTTCTTTCTCTTTGTCAATCTGACTTTGACTATTGAAATTAAAAAGTATTTTTAATGCTATGTTTCTAAAATATCATATTAACATTTTCTTGTTTATATAATTATTAAATAAATTAGTTTTAGATTTTAATAGATGGAATAGATTCTGAAATTAATAAAGATTTCATATTTTTAATATATACAATGATAAGAAATTTTAAAATAAAACAAGTTGTTTGTTATATTTTTAATATGTGCGAGATAATAAATTATAATGAAGCACTTGAAGCATTGTAGAAGAACTACAATGCTTTAAACAATGCTCCTTATGCTTTAAAGTCTAATTTAAAATGAGTTTCTGCCAAAGCAACAGACAAATTGGTTATACTACTCTGTCCCTAATTATAAGAACATTTTGGCCAAATTGTGCTTTTTAATAAAACAGTTAAAATTAGTTAAAAATAATTAATATGTAATAAATATAATTTTTTTCCAAATATACCCTTAATAAATGTAAGAGAGTAATAATGAGATAAATAGAGAGAGGATGTAATATATGAAATTTATTATGGGTAAAATAGGTAATAATACATTCAATGTTCAGACAAACTCAAAAAGAACCTTATAAAAAGGGACAAATCCATTCAAAAAAAGAAATCTTATAATTAGGGACAGAAGGAGTAATTTATAACACTTGCGATAGAAATTGGTCCACCTAATTATTAGTTATATATGTAAGCTAAAATGGGTTTTGTAATTTTTTTTAAAAAGAAATGATACATTAATATAATCAAAATACTAGTATTTGCCAATTATCTTTCATCATCATACTACTTCTGGAGGTTGAGCAAAGATATAAAGTTAAAACCATAATCCAGCTTATCTTATAAGGGGGTGTTTGGATGAAAAACCAAACCATGGTTTCAGAAGTGATTTTACGGTCTACGAAGTAAATATGTGAAGGAGTTTATCTCGATTTGCGGAAAAGTGCTTCTGAGAAGCACTTTTTAGGGTATCCAAACACCCCCTAATAATGCTTTGATGATTTGATCCAACGCAAAGCCAACCTAGCACTTTATACAATCATGAATCACATAATAATGTAGCTTAAAAACTGTATTATATTGGTTGGCTTCTTTATACTTGAAGTTAATAAATATATGTCATAACTTTTTTTCTTTTTTTTGCTAAAGTATAGGTATCTTTCTATTGGAGGCAATCCTACTGGAAGCATTGTCGGACACTAAATGTGAGCACCTCTCTCAACGGGGATTCGAACCTTAATTCATCATGTTGTGAGGAACTAGTCTCTTCTGTTAGACCCAACTTCTATTGGTATAACTAATTAATTTCTATACCACAAACGTCACACGATTTGGCCTTTTTTTAAAAAAAATTACTAGAGACAATAACTACTACATATACGATACATGCTCTTATCTTGCGATTAAGTCAAAAGCCCCTGTAATATACATGAACTTTTTTCAACATTCTATCCCAGTTAATTAATCCAAGTCCTTTATCAAATAGTAGTAGTAATAATAGTAGTGGTAACAATAATAATATTCAAGTTCTTGGTTATATATATATATATATATATATATATCTCATCCAAACGGTGGGGGAAAAAAAACCACTTCCATCCACTTTTAACATTGACAGATTGACTAGGAGATTAAAATATGATACAGTTCAGATTCCATATTTTATAAAAGTATTATTAAAATATTAAATTTTTGAAAAATAGATAAATAAAACTAAACTACTAAATTTTAGTTTGATAATCTTAAACAGCAATAAATTTTTTTATAAAATATGAAATATGAACTGTTCGAATGGTACTACCTCCGGTACCTAGGAGCCGTTTGGGTAGAAACTAAATTATGATTTTAAAAATAATTTTATAGTATACGAAGTAAGTATATGAGAGAAGTTTTATCTCAAATTTTATGAAAGTGTTTCTAAAAAACACTTTTGCGGAAAACCAAACACCCTCTAATATAAGAACTAGTTGACTAATTTGAGAAGATTAAGAAAATTAGTTAAGTTAGTTATTTATAATAAATAGGTGTTGTCTTTCCTAAAATACCCTCCCCTAATCATGTATATTAGTTAGAACTACCATTTGATGAAACATTTAATATATATAACTACTATAAGGATTACATTAAAAAAATAAATAAATATGAGAGACAAAAGAGATTGAGATTTTATATTTAGAATTAAATTAAATATCAAAGTAGGACAAGAAGTAGTATATTAATTGAGATAGGAAATGGATGAAAACGAAGGGAAAGGGAAGTAGAGATAATCCTTCCCTGTAATAATAGGTCTCTATGGTCCTAGCTTTGCGTTTAATCCCAAACACCCACTCTCATTACTTCTTGTTGTTTGCAACTCAACTTCATGTTATATGAATATCAGCTGGGGATAATTTATAACTCATCGATCTTCTTGTTTCAATAAACTAAGCTTCAATATGAAAAAAAAATTATTAAATGTTTTAATTACTTAATGGGACACAACCTCTTATGTACTTTCAATTTGGTCATAAATATAAGAATTTAATCCATTTTGTTTCTTATAATTATCTATTTTTTTAAAGTAGTCCTTGAAATAGCTACCCATGTTAACGATTTCATCAAATGATAATTCTAGCTGATATACATAATTAACAAGGTATTTTAGGGACGAAAACACATATTTATTATAAATAACTAATTTAACAAACTTTTTTAATCTAATTAAATTAGTCAACTAGTTTTTATATTAAAAAACCAGAGGTAATATTATTTATTCGACTCCCATATAGTTAGAATTTATAATTCATGCTAGACAGTGATATATTCGTCCATTTATGCTTCCCTCGTGCATTTATATATATGCTGATACAACACCATATATATAATTATATATAAAATTCTTATTTGTACTTATCTGTATGTTTATTATTTTATACTTTTGGCCAAAAGAGATATTTATTATTTTATTTTTAACCCATTATTATATAAGGCATAAACTTAGAATTATTTCACATATATATTTTAAAGATTTCGAGCTTTCTTTTAACACACAAAAGTGGGGAAAACAAGAGACATGTTGAATAAAGAGATATTTGCTATTTTATTTTAACGCATGTTATTATATAAGGGATAAACTTAGACTTATTTCGGATTTATTTTTAGAGACTTTGAGCTCCCTTTTAACACACAAAAACACATCCAAAAAAAAAAAGGGAGAAACAAAGAGACCAGTCGAATTTTTAATTTCTTCCCATATCATCCCCAAATATGATAGAGGGATTAAATTCACAATGGCCTTGAGATCGCATATATATCCTCTCTTCTAAGCGAAAAGTTGAGGATCCACTTGGAATTTTATATTATTAATGTTAGCTTCTATAATAGGGGAATAAGTTTAGAGAAACAAACCGTCTTAAATGTAAAATTCACTTTATAATGTAATTTATGTTATAAATGGGTCTTATATTTATAACCAGACTAACAAATATATATTTATAGTATTAGGCTTTTCTAACATGACCTAGACGTTACAAAATTCCAATTATACAAAACACTACTCTACAAATTGGGGAAAAAAATCAATTCATATCGATTCATGCCGGGACAACGATATTTGGACGACACCTATGATTAAACATTTATACATACAAACTCAAGCCCCTGAGGATCTTGCCAAGGGAGCAACTTCGGCCAGCGGAGTTGAAACCGGCGTCGGGAGCGGTGAGGTCCGACACAACGGACACGAAGAGTTCATCCTCAGCCACATATCAATGCACTTCTGATGAAACAAGTGATGACAATCCGGCAACTCCCTCAACCTGTCACTGTCACTGAAATCCCCCAAACATATCGAACAAGTTGCCGCAAAATCACCACCACGGGCGGCACCGCCTTTCCGGTCACGCTTCACTTCTGAGTATAACAGCACCGGATAACTCTTCAACGTCTCGTCATCCACACCTAATCGCGGACTGTCCGTTGCCGGAGCATCTCCGACGCTAATGGTCTGTAAGCCAACTCTTGCGTTGCGAACTCGTGACAGTTGTGTCGAATTCATGGCGATTCTGCGGGAAAAGAAGTACAAGATCACGGTGATGAATGCGAAGAGGAGGAGAATTCCGACGGATAGGCCGATGGAGTAATAGGCGTATCCGCTAAACGGCGGCTTAGAGTGCGCCTCCGTTATGTTGGTGCTCATCGGCGTCGTCGAATTTAATCAGATTTTAGAGAAGACGAAGAACAAATAAAGGAGGATCAAATTAAAGGATATTGAGGGAACGATCGAGTCGTGTTATAGTAATGTGTATTTGGTTGGTAAGGAAGCTAAAGATTTTATTTATTATTCTAATTATAATATATCCAAGGTCAACTGATGATACCTTTAGACCCACTAGGCAGATAAAAAAATATTATTCGCAAACGATATTCACGGCTAAATAATAAAATCCATATATTAATTTAATCACCAATATATGTTTCGTCCTTTTTTTTTAATGAGAATGACAATATTCATACCTCATCAATATCCATAGTCATCAATATATATAATGAAATCTAAGTACTTAGTTTTTAACTAGTCTCTATAACTATGGTCAACTTGGATTAAGGCTCTTCTGATGATATAATTTTCTTAAAGATTTAGTTCTTAAAATTATGGGTATTTTATCAAATTCTACTGATACCAAACATTATTGCTAGTTTAACAATGCATTATTGTCATGTTAATGTTGCATCATCTTTAGGAAAGTTGAAGTTCTGTGTGTGTATTATTAAAAATTGTAAAAATTTCGTGTAAATAATGTGGCATGACCATGAAAAGAATTATGTCCACAAAATTACTACCTCTGGTCTTAATTATAAGAGCTAATTAACTAATTTGAGGAGATTAAGGAAAGAAGTTAAGTTAGTTATTTGTAATAAATATGTGTTATCTTTCCTAAAATATCATTGCTAATCAAGTATATTGGCTAGAACTACCATTGTTAGAAAGACTACTTTGAAAAAAAATGTATAAATATAAGAGACAAAGTGGATTGGGGTTTTATATTTAGGATCAAAATAAAAGTCAAACAAAGTCTTTTATTAAGGAGTGAAGGTAGTATTTGACAATAAAGTTTATACTTTGTCAAGTGAAATGATGACATGAGTTGCCCATAGAATATACTCCTCCGGTCTTTATTATAAGACCCAATTTGACTTTTTATTTGGTCCTAATTATAAGACCCCAATCCATTTTATCTCTTATATTTATGTATTTTTTTTCAAGATAATCCTTCTAATAATGATAGTTTTAGCCAATATACTTAATTAGCAAGGATATTTTAGGAATGACAACACTTATTTATTATAGGGATAATTAATCTCCAGGTCCTTATAGTTTCATCTGATTTTTAATTAGATCCTTATAAATTTTTTTCTTTTTATCATATCCTTTTACTTTCATGTGTTTTTAATCAGGTCCTTCTATTCTTTTTTCTTTTTATCAGGTCCTTATAGTTTCACTTATTTTTTAATTAGGTGCTTTGTAGTTTTTAAAAAATTATTTATTAACTTTATTCTTTAAAATTAATTTCATTTTTAAATTAATAATTATATAATTGGACAAAATAATTAATATAATCATTTAGTAATTAATAAATAATCAGAATAATAATTATACTTAAATATAAATTATTTATAATCATATTTTAATTTTAGAAAAATTTATTATTATAATTTGAATTTTATAATTATAAAAATTCGAATTGAAAATAAATAATATATTTGTTTAACTAAAAATTTAAAAGAACATTAACATAAGATTGTTACAATAATTTATTATTTTTAAAATTTTATTATTTGTAAAGTAAAGAATAAAAACTACAAGGATCTAATTAAAAACAAAGTAAAACAATAAGGACCTGATTAAAAGAAAAAAAATTATAAGGACTTGATTAAAAATACATGAAAGTATAAGGACCTGATAAAAAGAAAAAAAATTATAAGGACCTAATTAAAAACCAGTTGAAACTATAAGGACTTATATATTAATTATCCCTTTATTATAAATAACCAACTTAACCTACTTCCTTAATCTCCTCAAATAAGTCAATTGGGTCTTATAATTAGGACCGGAGGAGTAATATAGAAGACCGTGTATCATAGAATCTTTGGGAGAAAATGAGAGGGACTTGCATTTGGGATGTTGACTTCCTATTTTATGGGTCGGAGTAACTTTCCCAATAACAACTTGCCAGGTTCCTATACAAATAGGAAACAATGTGTGGCTCACACTCGTTTAAAAGTCCTTAATCACCTTGGCCAGAATTGAATATAAAATTAATTTGGTCAATTCATCCCTCTCGAAATTTAATAAAATTTTTTGAAAGTCAACCTTATCTTTCAGTGACCCCCCCCCAAAAAAAAAAGTCTCACAGAAAGGCCCCTTCTTAGTCATTTTAGTCTTTGACTTCAATGGTTGGAGGCGAATATATGATGATATATATATGTAGTATGTTGTTATAGGTTAGCTGTTTAAACTTCAAATTCTCTTTTCGTTAATTATATAATTAACTATGTTGTAGCTTTTAAGCAAACTGACCAAAGAATTGAGCATATAATAATGCTATAATAATACTCTGAATCCTTAACATCGTCAGTACCAGATTAATATATACACTTATTTTCTTTTGCAGAGGTGGTTATTAAGTATGATTATGTGAACATTTGCGATGTCCATCTTATAAGATTACTTGCTTCATTAATTTCTTCATACCATTGTCAAAACTGTGGGTGTATAAATACATATACTACTTCTGGTCTTTTATATAAAAGCTAGTTAAATGATTGAATCTGTTCTAAATATAATATCTCTTCTACTTTATCTCCTAAATTTATTTTTTTTCAAAATATCTCAATTAATTAATTGTAAGAGACTCTTTCCAATTCACATGATTAATGATGATAATTTAGACAAGTCAAATTCAATTTATATTTGTTGCAAATAAATAACTGAACTAATTTTCTTAATATTTTTAAATTAATCATCCAGTTGTTATATCAAAGACCCGCGGCACATCGTATTAAGTTTCGTCTTGTGAATTAGTATTTGATTGGGTGATCATAATATAGAGCTGTCCAGATTCATACGCAAGGTTGCCTATTAAACTTCATCCATGGTCAAAATGTATACATAGACTGATCTCAAATAGTAAAGTCCTAATTTGACCTGGCCAGATTCCGGCTGTACGTAAAATTTTAATTTTTTTTCCAGTTCATAAAATAGGGAGCTAACATTTTTTTTTTTTAATACGAAGATTCTAGCATCAAATAAATCATCGTATAAAAAGAAACGTGATGCTATGAAGACAAATTTATTGCTCAAATCAATGATCATATATAATCAGCATCCGTATGATGGTCTGATAGACAATTATAACACAATTAGTTAGTAGCTTCTCTAAAAACACACACACATTCTTGACATATGGGAATATGATTGGCGTGTACATTCATATGTATAGGTGCAAATATACTTAATTGTATATTTTGTGTTGGGTAAGGTGCAAGAAACTGAATGTTTTATTCTATTCTATATGTGGGTTACGTGTTCTTTTGAATCTTGAGAGGCCAGTTTAATTGATGAATTGCACTAGTTTGGATTAATATCGGCAAAAGTGACTTTTATCTGTTGAGGTATAAGTCAGTTGATATAATTTTATTTATATTTGATTGAGTTTTTAATTTGACAAAAAATTGTTCAGGCATAATATATTAAATAGGTTAGTTTCAAGAGATTTAAATTAAATCTGAACAAAAAGCAAGCAGCTAAAAGAAGTCAAAAAGAGATTACTTCAACTTTTTGACTTTTGGAAAAATGTCAGCTGACTCGAGACTCATGCGATGCATATACTACTACTTCCGGTTTTTAATATGAGATATTATTTAACTTTTATTTTAATTCTAAATATAAGATCCTAATCTATTTTGTCTCTTATATTTATACTTTTTTTTCTCAAGATACTAGTCATTCTAATAATGATAATTCTAACCAACACACTTAATTAACAAAGATATTTTAAGAAAGACAAAACCTATTTATTACAAATAAATAACTTAACTTTTTTCTTTAATTTTCTCAAATTAGTCAACTAATTCTTATAATTAGGACGGGGTAGTATCATTTTTCATCCGGTTAGGTTTTTTTTTTTTAAATTATTCCAACGGATTTCTAAGGCTCCTTAGCATAAATTGAAATGAAATTTACACCTAGAATAATCCATCGACAATCAAAGTCAATGTGATGGACTAGCTTGATAAGGATTGGATACAAACGTAGGGTGTGTGTGTGTGTGTGTGTGTGTGTTGATAAGGATTGGACACAAGCGTAGGATGTGCGCGCGCGCGCGTTCCATGAAAAACTGCTTGCCGCTGAGAGGGCCATGGAAGAATTGATCGATTTCCGGCAGACCAAAACAAACGCATGACGTACTTCTTATGAAGTCTTGACACGAGAAATGAGGGAATAACAATGCCAGCCGCTTATGAAGACTTGTGGATCTTGAAATCCCAACGTACTTGCACTTGGTGCTTAATATAAGCTACTTAGTTAATTAATACAGATTAAAAAAATTAGTTAAGTTAATTATTTATAATAAATATAAGTAAATTTTTCTAAAATACCATTTATGATTATGACTAGTTTCGGATGAGAACCTTTTAACATGTGTGATACGTAGTATAGTTTAGAGAATAAATTATAAATTTGAGAAATAAAGTAGATATTGAGATATTATATTTAACACCAAATTTAATTCTTAATTAGTTCTTATATTTAAAATAAGAGGCAGTATTTGTGACAATTTTTTTTTGTTATATGGATTTGCCACCAAAAACATGGGATTTTGTTCCAAGTTTTGCTACCACAAAATTTATAGCAAACAACTCCATATACTATCTTAGGTCTTTAATATAAAAGCTTGTTTAACTTTTATTTTAGTCCTAATTATATGACCTCAATTCATTTTGTTTATCACAATTATCTATTTTTTCAAAATAGTCTTTGTAATAATGGTAGTTTTAGCTAATATACTTGATTAGTAAGGATATTTTAGGA